AATTAGTAATGGTTTATAGTTGAACCAACATAACCTGTATAAACAATCAGTAATGGTTTGTAGTTGAACCAACATAACCTGTATAAACAATTAGTAATGGTTTGTAGTTGAACCAACATAACTTGTATAAACAATCAGTAATGGTTTGTAGTAGAACCAATATAACCTGTATAAACAATCAGTAATGGTTTGTAGTAGAACCAATATAACCTGTATAAACAATCAGTAATGGTTTGTAGTAGAATCGTTTATACAGGTTATGTTAATCAGTAATGGTTTGTAGTAGAACCAATATAACCTGTATAAACAATCAGTAATTGTTTGTAGTAGAACCAACATAACCTGTATAAACAATCAGTAATGGTTTATAGTAGAACCAACATAACCTGTATAAACAATCAGTAATGGTTTGTAGTAGAACCAACATAACCTGTATAAACAATCAGTAATGGTTTGTAGTAGAACCAACATAACCTGTATAAACAATCAGTAATGGTTTATAGTAGAACCAACATAACCTGTATAAACAATCAGTAATGGTTTGTAGTAGAACCGACATAACCTGTATAAACAATCAGTAATGGTTTAATAAACGCGTGTTTTGTAACATTCTTCAATTTTTGTAAAATTTCAATAGTTATATTTATGAACTGCAATAAAATGATCTTATACTGAAAATATTATATGTAGCTATTATCAGCTTACCGTGTCTAAAAGCTTAGTACCAGACATGATGATTTGACAAGCATGAACTAGTTTAACTGCTATCAACGTATTATTTGAACGCTGAGAAATTACGTTACATCTGTTGTTTTAATCTTTTTCAAATATAGATAATAAGTTAGAATAATATACATACGATTTCGGTATTATATGTTTGTAATAATATTCCATTTTAGAAACTATGAAAATCTTATGGTCAATAACTGAAACAGATGAAACCTCTAATAAGCAGATGAGTCAATGTTTTACAGATAACAAGCTATTAAACAAGTACAATTTGCATAATAATCACATATAGATATCACGAAACGAAACAAATATAAACAAAAAACACTAATGGGAAAAAGCACTTATTGTAAACATTAAAAATACCATTAGTATCTTTTCAACAGTATTCTCTGAATTGTGTTTTCAATATCATCGTAAGTTTTCCAAAACATTTTCACAGCTAGTCCCAGCATCAGAAAACTATATAAATTCAAAGTTTCACCTAATAGGCTCGTGAAAGTGTAGAAGTAATTAGATGTTCGATCTTAACCTTCTAGAATTAAAAAAGAGTATATCTTTATCCGAAGTTGCTTTTAAAATATTTTCCTGCAGATGATCTATACTTATAATCAATAATTATGTTAGGCCTAGTCCATTGTTACGACAGCGGAAATCACGTGACGCTACTCGCCCGTTTGGCGCTGGTAACGTGCGTGATGTTTTTCGAATGATCTGGGAAGTCCGAGATGCCCTCTTCGTTAGTATATAAGCCTGGCAGAGAAAGCCAGCAGGGTTAATGAAGACAGACCAGTAGTTACTTTGAGTTCCGTGTAATTTATGATTCTGTTAGTTTCGAGCTAGTGAGCCGTAAAGTGTGTGTTTTGCACTCGTCGAAAGCGAAGTTATCGAGATTGTGAATTGCTGTGATTTATAGCGTGTATTATAAAAGTTGTTAAGCTTAAAGTGACGAGAAACGTACTTATTGGGTAAATTATTGTCTACTAAAAGTTTGTATCGAGGAAGAATAAACTGGTTTAATCAAGAAAGAACTCGTGTCGCTGAAGATTCTCGGCAAGAATTTCTACCGGAAACAAAAAAAAACAAGCAGATACGTAACACCATGTTTAACACTAGATTACGAAATGTAGTGTTAAATAAATATAGTAGGTCTAACATAATGTCTCATGACAAGTATAATTGATTATAATCATGCTTTGCCAGCTTCTAAATAACGTTCACATACTTAGTTAGCACCAATGTGAATAGAATGTAAGAAGCTTGTTTTAATCCTTGTCGAAGGATAAATTAACACGGATCTTAAACCAGAGCCATAAAACTGGCCAGCTAATACAGCAAGCACAAAGACGTTTTTTCATTTTCATTAAACATTATTATATATTTGCTTGGCGCTTGTATATCAGTTTTTCCATTCTTTTTAGTGTTCATCCTACTCGTTCACGACCATAGTATTTGAGCCTTACAAACGTAGACTTTACGGAAACTACCACACACATTGTGAAACACGTTGAAAAGTTCTTAAACTTTGTGAACGTTATAAAAATGTTTTCAGTAAGGTCACACAACATTTGTTTCAGTACGGCCTATAAAAAAGGACTCTTGGGGTACAATACTTCGTTCTTTAGAAATCTCATTATTGAATAGCAATAGCAATAATCATTGATTGTTGTATCAAGTACAGGAAACGTCACATTAAAAATTAATTTAATTGCAATCAATTTTACTACTTGATGGTCCATTAGTGTATATTAACCAGTAGTACATGTTGTAACAATGCAGACCTAACGAAATACTACGCTAATTTGTAAACGACCTACGTAAAAAAGCCAACTTGTACAAAGTAATTCAATATGCGCGATTCCTAACACATCCAAGTACACAAGCTTAATTACTTGCTTATTGACTGGCTAATCTGTATTTATAATCTAACTTAGAATGCATTTTAAGGCTAAAAACTGGCTTTCTATACACGTGGTAAGAACAGCACAGGTAGTCCATGTTGTAGCCTTGTACTTGCCTACAAACAAACAAACTAGAAAACTTTATTTCAAATCTTCTAGAAACCTCAGAGTATTGCAGAACATGCCAGAGTATTTGGTTCCAATATGGACTAGTAACTACATGAATAATCATTGTCTGGTGTGAGTACTTCACTTTCTATTCCTATAATGGCCACCCTTTATATTTTCACTGGAAGTTCAACCTCTTCTGTAGAGATATCCATGTAGTAGATGTGGGTTTACTGGTCATAGTCCAAGAAAATGCTTGAAGGTAGTTTCATCTCGTATCTATGTATCCACATCTAGTCAGTTTCCAATATGCACTCTTCCTCTATGTTAATTACCTAAGCATCATTAGGTGTACAAAAGCTTCTTTACACTTCAGTCTTGCTCGAACTTTATGTACACTTGCTGGTTGCAACGATCCATCTTTTTTATTTAGTCTTTGGCAGCAATTTTCCAATTTTCATTAAGAAATCTGAGTGAAAAAATTGTAGCTGTGGAATAATGTCAGTCAGCATATTCCAATTTTTTCCTTCAATAACCCCATGGAATCGTAGACGATGTTTCCATTCGTGGTAGGCTGAGTATTTCCAGCTGAATTTTGCCTCATTAATTCATCTAATGCTTTTTTTTGTGTCTCATTAGTTCTGTGTTGTTCCTTTTATCTGGTTGGGCTCTGTCTCTTTAGCATGATAACGGATGTTCATTTTATATAGTCTCGGTTGTACTGGCCAGGTACCCTACAACCATAATAATTACCTCTCTTTCGTGTCCTTTGGGAGAAGTTCTTATACCATTCATGCCGTTGCCTATTATTCCTGGTAATATGTTCTTTAAACGTCAATTTCCTTGTAGTTTATTTCCTCCACTGTTTGTAACTACGTTTTTAACCAACCCTTTTAGTTCTCCTAGGCTACGTCAGCAGAAGTTGATGCTTGAATACTGTCCGATCTGATGGTCCCACAATTTCAAGATGGTGTATTCAATTGATTGTCTGCTACCTTAATGGATTTTAGTTTCATCACCAACTACAGAGCTTTTTTGAAAGATTTACACCTACTTTTCTTCAGCCTAATTCTCATATCCTCGTCTGTTATACCATCTATAAACTCGTCACGTGCCAATGAATCCATCATTTCACGAGACGTATCCAGGTAACATAATTGTGCAAGCCTCTCCAAATCTTCTGAAAGGTCAGCTAAGATCTCTCTTTTTTCTTCTGTTTCCTGTTCTGGAACTGTGCTCTGGAAACTTCTTTTCTTGTGTGTCACGCCATACCTGATAGACAAACAAGCTACCAATGATTAATAGTTGTTACGGTTCTCAGCTGGAAAGTTATTTAATACTATCAAAGCTGGTCCATTTAAGTGGCATCAATACGGATGGCTTGTTGTTTATTATTCCATCCATTCACCCTGAAAATGATTTGAATTGACTCCCATGTTACCTTCCCATCATAGTCTTTGGTTTCTCTATTAACATCAATACGGATGGCTTGTTGCTCACTATTTCACCCATTCACTCTGAAAATGATTTTGAATTGACTCCCATGTTACCTTCCCATCATAGTCTTTGGTTTCTCTATTAACATCAATACGGATGGCTTGTTGCTCACTATTTCACCCATTCACTCTGAAAATGATTTTGAATTGACTCCCATGTTACCTTTCCATCATAGTCTTTGGTTTCTCTATTAGCATCAATACGGATGGCTTGTTGCTCACTATTTCACCTATTCACTCTGAAAATGATTTTGAATTGACTCCCATGGTACCTTCCCATCATAGTCTTTGGTTCCTCTATTAGCGTCAATACGGATGGCTTGTTGCTCACTATTTCACCCGTTCACTCTGTAAATGATTTTCAACTGACCCTGGTATGACTTCCATGGTACCTTCTCATCATATTCTTTGGTTTCTCTATTAATCAATGTTTAATTGGCCAGAAACATTCTGGAACTTGACTTGGTAGTGTCGTAGTTCGAGTAGTTCAGGTGGCAAAGCAGTTGTGGTAGTGGGTGGAGACCAAATAAGTTTCATATATGTAGGAATGGATGTGGCTGGTCACCTATGTTCATCTCTAACTTTTGAATTTTTTATTTTTACTCTGCTCTTGAATTTGTCAACGTCCTCTTGCAATTCTTCAATCTTGTCATTACGGCCTCTCCGTACTTCTTCAATCTTGTCATTACGGCCTCCCCGTACTTATTCAATCTTGTCATTACAGTCTATCCGTACTTATTCAATCTTGTCATTACAGCCTCTCCGTGCTTATTCAATCTTGTCATTACAGCCTCTCCGTACTTATTCAATCTTGTCATTACGGCCTCCCGTACTTATTCAATCTTGTCATTACAGCCTCTCCGTGCTTATTCAATCTTGTCATTACAGCCTCTCCGTGTCTTCTTCATCTTA